AGAGAGAGAGAGAGAGAGAGAGAGAGAGAGAGAGAGAGAGAGAGAGAGAGAGAGAGCTCTTTGGTCTCTGCTTCAGTTCCTGCTTGAATTCCTGCCCAATACCTCTGAACGGTGGACTGTGGCATGGGATTATGAGCCAAATAACTCATTCTCACCTAAGTTGCTTTTGGTTAGAGTTCTGTCACAGTCACAGAAAGCAAACTAGTATACTAAAGTGCTATGGGATAGGCCTAAACTAAGATAGAATTAAACTACTTATAAACAATGCATCACAATTGCTGATTATTTCATTTCATAGATTCCCATATTATATTTCATAGTAGCATGGAGTGTTCAGTTACATGGACTCAGTCATTTAATTCCCAAATGTATGCAGAAGCACTTACATCTTCCCACAAATACAGGCTATGAGTTTATTAAATATCAATAAGACTCCATTGTATTTATGTATGCTAAAGTTTTAGGGAAATGGTGCACTAGGGGACTTAAAGGTTTTCAAAACATCTTAATGATTTTTTACAGATTAAATGGAGGTGTGCTCTTTAGAATGAACAAATCATATTATTCACTGTGTATGTTTTCCATTTATTTGGTTGATCAAAGAGTTTAGAACCAGATGTCATCTTGAAGGCTTTAGTGTATTCTTTTTGTTTTTATGGCCAAAGGATCTCAGGTCTCAGATGTCAAGACATTTACCTAAAGATTAAGGACATGTTGTAAGCTCTGCAGCCCCACATTTGTGCTTTCAACCACCCAGGAAAATAAGTCAATCCATGAACTCAATAAAAACATCCCAGCAACGTAGCTCTCTGGCTGAACTGATAGACACATGCGGTAAACAGTCTCCTGCACATCTGAGAGCTCTTGCTCGCTCTGGTGTTAGATGTCACATAGTTTAGTTGCCAGAGTGAAGCTCTTTGTTATCAGCTGTCAATCAGGCTGGAATTACATAATCAGAGAGTGACAACAAATTAACTTGAAAAACAAGTTACATTATTGAGAATAATAAAGATGCCAGTATAGACTGTGGGGGATAGCTTGGAGGTAAAGTGCTTGCCTAGTTTGTGAGACTCTGGGTTTGATTCCTGCCACCACACACAAAAAGGAAACCCACAGAACCTTAGCATAGTTTTCCTAAGTTTTATATTTTATGAAGAATTTTATTGAAATAATGAATAAAATTAGGATTGTTTGTTAAGTATTACTAATAAAGTAATTTTTTGCTGTTGTTGGTTTTTTTTTTTGTTGTTGTTGTTTTGTTTTTTGAGACAGGGTTTCTCCTTGTAGTTTTGGTGCCTGTCATGGATCTTGCTCTGTAGACCAGGCTAGACTCAAACTCACAAAGATCCAACTGCCTCTGTCTCCCAGGTGCTGGGATTAAAGGCATGTGCATGCACCACCATTGCTCAGCCTCATAAAGTAATTTTTAAACATGTGAAGCATTCCTTAAAATACTATGAATTAAAGTTTCTTCTTCTTTGATCTCTGACATTAGAAACTTATATTTCAAAATTTCTTTCAGTCATTTATTTGATAAATACAATCTGACTTAAGATAAAAATAAGATAAACAGAGTAATCATTTTTTTTTAAATCCCAGAAAGGATCAAAACAAATATTCAAAAGGACTTCAATTTTCTGATCCATCTGTGAGACAGCATGTTTCACTTTGATCAGTCACAAATATTACTTGCTCAGATCTAATTGAAGGTCAAGATTATGGACATCTCAGCAAGGGCTTTTATGTTGCTATATTAACCTTATCAGAAGTCTTCATTCCCCACACACCTACACAGCAGACTTACAAACGGCAAACCTTGCCACTGTGTGTGTGTGTGTGGGGGGGGGGATCAAAACAAAATCCGAGTTGCAATAGAAATCAAGGGAAGACTTTACTTTCTTTATTTGAAAGGCAGTTTACTTTATTGCTAATTTAACAGATATTCTAGTGTTTAAGTATATATGCAGAGACACTTGAAAACACAAGAAAAAAACATGGATGTTATTCTTCATACCTTCTATTTTCTTTTAAATATTTTAAAAATTATATGTTTTGACCATACGTAATTGTTTTAGCTATCCTGTGATTTTTGCTTTTCTATATGAAGCTGGGTATTATTCTTTATAGGTCTGTAAAGAATTGTATTGGAATTTTGATGAGGATTGCATAGAATTTGTAGATTACTTTTGATAAAATTGCAGTTTTTGCCATGTTAATCCTACCAATCCATGAGCATGGGAGATCTTTCCATCTTCTAATATCTTCTCCAATTTTTTTAAGGACTTGAAGTTCTTGTCATATGGGTCTTTCACTTGCTTGGTTAGAGTTATTCCAAGATATTTTATATTGTTTATGGTATTGTGAAGGGAGTTGATTCTCTGATTTCTTTCTCAGCCTATTCATCATTTGCATATACGAGGGCTACTAATTTCTTTGAGTTAATCTTATATTCAGCCACATCACTGAAGGTGTTTATTAGCTGTAGGAGTTCCCTGGTAGAATTTTTTGGGTTGCTTATGTATACTATCATGTCATCTGTTTTACCTCAGCTTGATATGCAATGCTTTGTTGATACCAATAGGAAACCTGCCCCTTTCTGAACAGAAGCATAGGAGGAGTTGGTCGCAGAGGGCAGAGGGGAAGCAGGAAGAGGGAATGGGAGGAGAGGAGAGAGAGAACTGTGGTCAGGATATAAAATAAATGAATAAATTTAATTAATAAAAAACTTTTTAAAATTACATGTTTTGAGACAGGGCATCTCCTAGGCTGGCCTTGAATTCGGTATGCTCTTACCCATGCACCTGAATCATTATACTAGGATTACAGGCATATAGCACCAACTACTGCCTTGAATTCAACTTATTTTCTTGAATTCTACTTTCCACTCAGTGCTGGGGTGACAGACACAAGCCACCACACCCAGCTTTTTACATGGGTCTGGGGTTTCAAACTCAGGTCTCATACTTATTGGGCAGACACTTCACCCACTGAAGTATCTCCCCAGCCAGTTTCTACCCAAACATTATAGAAGAAGAGACCACACATGAGTAGAGAACAGGACCCACAGTTTGGAATTGGTTGCACAACTAGTCCAGGATCCTTTGGAGTTTATGAGCATTCTAGTTCAGATCATTTCCTTTCAAAACACTAACTCATCTCATTTCCTTGATCTACTTTTACTATGTCTGGTTTAATGCTGCATTGTGAATAAGATTGAGTAAGGTCTTTTGTCATATTCTAATTTAATACAACTAATGTCATCTTCTCTGCTGTCATTCAACCAAAGCTGTACTCTTCATGGAGCTTCCACAGGGGAAAGAATGGGATGCGGAAATCCAAGGGAATATTAGTTGTGTTCCGGATTAGGGAACCACATTCGGATGCCAATTTACTGTTACAGACATGGCAGGGTCATCATTTCTTACAGCTGTATTTATTTTGGCAACAGTAAGCTAAAGACTATTAAGTACCATGTCACAACTGTACACTAGGAAAAAATATAGTGCTTGTTCAACTTACAACCCATCCAAAACAGATATCAATCTATCTTTACTGGCACATTTGTAAAAAAAAAAAATACGTAAGGAGGAGAGACATCACTATAGTGGTCCAGAAAGGCCTGTTGACACCTGGCACAGAGCAACTACTTCTATTTGTCTTACTCATGCTCCCCAGCTTTGAAAATGAACTATTTGTTGCTCTCTACTAAGTGAGGACACAGGATGCTCAGTGCCACTTGTGGCTATCAAAATCCTAAGGCTGGAATGAACCCAGGCCTGATGTTTTGACATGAAGTTTAAAAGCCTATAGTGCATACTCT